TCACATTTAGATACATTGAAAGAAAGTGGGATACACTGTCCAGTCTGTGAGCCAGGGATAAAAATTGTAAATTATTAACTATTTTTCAAATATGTTACCACTGGGCAAAAACAATGGTAACTTTTGCTCAAAGCCAATCAAAAAGGAAAGCCGTGTGTTAGCTAAGAAAATGGTGGTTCAGAATTCTCTTTTAAAACTCATAAAGGTTATGGAACAAGAACAAGTGACTGATACGAGTATTAACCATGACATAAATAATAACAACAAAAAACTACAATGAGTTGACACCTTCAAATATTTGTAATAAACCAAATTTTTCAGAAACAGAATATAATAATGAATCAATGGAAGTCGGGTCTACGTGTGTGGAAGACAGTGAAATCTGTGTGTTATAAGGCACAAGATATTAATACAGAAAGGACTGAACAAGTTATAAATGGTGGAAATAGTGAGCAAATATCTACTTTAGAAAAACAGTGAATCTGTAATCTATAACAAAATTGATTCGATTATCTGTGCTGAAAACAGTGAATCAACAATGAAAACAGAAAACAATGAGTCATGCGCCAATTTAGATAACAGTGAACCGGTGTCAAACACTGAAATATATAAAGATTTTATAGAACTTGAAATATTTGTTCAAAGTGGAGATGCTGAGACTGACATTGAGATTGAAAAGATCGTTGGAATTGTAAACGCTGATAAACAGTGTAAATGTGTTTGATGATCGTTCCAATGCAGCAACTGATCAAAAATAGTGAATTAGATATTTCTCTGAATTGCAAAGAGTCAAATGTTACTATATTGGATGAATTTAATGGCAGTGTTGTAGCAGGTGTTAATGATGAATCGATTGGTGGTAAAGAAACTGAGATTGACGAATACTTTCAACAAGCATATTCTGTCATAGGTGAAAGTTCTTTCATTGGAAACAATAGAGACAAAAATAGTGTAAAAGATATTACAACAAATGTTGAAAATGAAACATGTTTGGATCTAGGAGAAAATGAAGAATATGAAGATATAAATAATGACAAAGATGCAAATGACCCAGATTATAATCCTAGTGAAGAGGGTGAATACGCGTCACCATCGGAAGACGATATTGATCATGAAGAAACCGTAGAAAAATGAATCTGTAAAGGCAAATGATAAACAAAATGGAAAAAGGAGAAAGGCAGAGACATCGTAAATAAACAGTTGCGTATATGTCAGGGAATGCATACAAAGAATGAAAAAAGTGGATGGGAAGTGGGGATTCCATGTTGAAAAGTCCGCAAGGACGTTGTCTGAAAAAAAGGTGTTCATCACGCTGCCAAACCTCTAATATTAAAAAATTGCAAAACCGTAACAGAAGCAGATAGGAGAGAGATATTTACTAATTTTTGGACAAACATGACAACATGGGATGAAAGGCGTTGTATATGTAAACTCGCTTATAAATGCTAAAGCAGTGGAGGAACCTACACTTGAAAATGGAAAACCAAGTAGAAGAACTCGAAACCCTCACATACCATCTAAGAATTAATGAAGAGCGTATTGTCGTATGTAAACAACTATTTTTTTGTCAACTCTTGGACTAGGGGAGCAGACAGTATATCAATGGATAGAACAGTCAATATCGGGTGTACCAGATAGATCAGCTGAGAAAAAGCAGAAGCAGTCAGGTAGTAACATGCCATTTAAATGTTTAATACAATTTTTCTAAATCCCAATTTCTTCTCTATATAAAAAAGTGAGTTTTAAATTAGTGAATGAATAAATTTGTGGGAGTGTGAATGAATAAATTAGTGCGTGCGTGCGTAAGAGTGCGTGAGTTGGTGTGTGTGTTAGTGAGTGAATTACAATATGAATGAGTATCAGTTTAAGTGAATGAGTGATTGACTGAAAATATTAAATGTGTTGTTAGCACTTTATAAAAGATATTTGATGCCTTTCTTTTTCAGATACAAGAAAGAAAGCTCAAGAAAGAAAGACACGGCCAGCTACGTATGAGTGTCAAGCAAATTTCTTGAAAGCATCCCTAGAATGGAATCTCATTATTGCCGTTTCATCGACTTCGAAGACCTACCTTGAACCTGTATTTAACTCTCTGACCTGCTTGTATAAAGAATACGTGAAACATTGTAATGAAAGGGTATGTGCGAGTCGTAGAGTATTTACCGAAGTTTTCGAGAGCCTAAATATTGGTCTAATTTGTGCCAAAAAAAGGACCAGTGTGATATCTGTGTAGGTTTTGATGCAGGTAATATATCCGCTGATATTTTACAACGAACATCAGAATAGAAAAATAAATTCACGAGAGGAGAAAAAACCGTGACAAGTTATTTTGTCAAACAAACCACTCAGTGAAAGTTCTTACAATGGACGTACAAGCAGTTCTACTTTTCGCCAAAAATGAATGCAAGCGCATTGTATTATAAAAACCAAATTAGCATGCCATAATTTCACTTTGTATGACCTTATAACGAAGCAGGCGACCTGCTACTTTTGGCATGAAGGAATGGGGGATCTTTCGGCTAATTCCTTTGCTTTCTTGCTTGGCTGACTACATTGAAAAAAATGATTTCCAAAGATGAAGAAATCAAACACATCATTATATATAGTGATGGATGTACCTATCAAAATAGGAACTTGGTAATGTCAAACACTTTATGTCACTTGGCTATGACTCTTGACCTTGAAATCACACAAAAAGATCCTCGAAAAAGGCCATACTTCAAAATGGAGGTGGATTCAGTACACAGCGTAGTGGAGAGGAAAATAAAGAACAAGAATGTTTATGTGCCACAACAGTATGTCGACTTCATCAAGGAAGCCTGTCCCTCTAACCCATATATCGTTTGAATACGTTGGCTACGATTTTTTCAAAGCATACTCGGAGTTGGGCTACTATGTTTCAATTAGACCTGGGACTAGGGTTGGAGACCCAGTGGTTAGTGAATTAGAGTTCTTCACTACGAAGCAGATGGTTTCTGTACGCTATAAATTGAATTATAGAGACTCATTTAAGGAAACTTCCAAGAAAATCTAGAAAATCTTATGTTAAACATACAGAGATAATACCAAAGTTGCCACGGTGGTCCTTTGAAGATAAAGAAAACGAAGTTCGACCATTTACAGGCACTTAAAAGTGTTCTTTCCAATGGGATTATCATGGGTTTTATGACCACCTGAAACATGATTCTTAAAAAAACATGAAAACGAAATGTATACAGGTGTTTCGTTATGGGACCCTTAGTTAAACTATAATTTTCTCTTGACAGTAATATGAAAGTGCCATTTTATTCATTTGAAGTAAAAAGTACTAAATTCATAAATAGTGAATTTAAAGACTGAGAAAGATTGATGTTTCAGTCAATAATGAAGTTAATTAATTTTGTTTGTTTTATTTGTTCAAGTTGAATTTCAAAGTTTTAAAGATTTGAGTGAGTTTGAGTGCGTGTGCGTCTGTGCGTGTGCGCGTCGCGAGTGTGCGTGCGTACGTGTGCGTGCGTGCGTGCGTATGTGCGTGTGTGTGTGTGTTGTGTGTGTGTGTGTGTGTGTGTGTGTGAATGCATAAAAAGACTGAGGAAAGTTGATGTTTAATTCAATTGTTATGTCAAAAGTTAACAGTTTATTAACCAACTCTGTTTAATTTGTTCAAGTTAAATATCAATACTTCAAGGTTTCAAGTTGTTAAAAATAAAACAATGTTCATGAAAATGATATTATATTGTTATTCTACTTCTAAATAAATGCACTTCTTTGATTATCCCTTATGGTCAAAATGTCGTATATGCTATTTTTTAAGGTCAAATTGTCGTACACTCTATATGTCAAAACTGATCAAACCAACTCATAAAAATCAATTATATATTAAAACGTACTATTCATGTTACCACTATACAGGAATTGTTTCCACAGAAGGTTCTTTTAGAAAGAAAGAAATCAAAAAAATGTTCCTCCTGAAAAGTAGCAAAAACTGTTATACGAGATTTTGACCCCCCCAACGACGAATTATATATTGCTTGACTTTGACACAATTATGTAATCATGTTTTTCATGATAAACGAACAATCGAATCTATTCGGCCATTTCCACCACGTGGTTTTATATGTAAATAAAACCAGAGACTGTTATCTTTGAAAATGTATAAGTAATAGAAAGAGCACCGAAACACGAGGCTATCTGATTTGTACGAGGGGGCGTAGCCCCCGAGTATAAATCAGATTGCCGAGTGTTTTGGTGTTCTTTCTCTTTTGTATCATAGTCAAACATAAAAACACGTTCCCTGTTGTCACAATTTTAAACCCCGGGAAAAAGTAACCAATGATCGAGCATCTGAATATGATATTTCTGCCGCTTTCCCTTTCTCTGCCGTCACAATATGTAAACCCCAGCAAAAATGAGCCAATCAACGGGCATGATCTGGAGTGCGGGTAACTGATACCTGCACTCCAGTTACCGCACTGTGCATGTATATGTATACGATTTAACTCTGACACTTTTTCAACAGAAAGGTCCCCAAACTATGATACAATGAATGTATATATTTGATATCCAAAGCAAAATAAGGTCTATTTTGTTAAATTTATGATTGAAAAAATGTCTAAAAATGATAACCAAATTAAAAGTGCTCGATGACGTACAGCTAAAAATAATGTCAGCAGTTAGACGTTTTGTACTTTCTGTAATTGTAACCATTATTATTAAATAATAAAAAATAATGTTCTGTTTACTTTTATATCTATAAATTTACTTAACTTAGGTGGACATTTACTAGATATATTGAAATTTATTAACATATTCAACAACTCCCAGCGTTAAATTACTATTTGTTTACATGTTCAGTTTCTTAGTGTAGGTTACACCAAAATACTGTATCTGTTCTGTGTATAGGTTCTTATCCGAAAATTGACGAAACATTTCGAAAAGATGGGATTGCTTCGTGTCATTGGCGCATTCTGCTTTCTTTTTTCAAGCGTTCAAATTGCTAATTTTCATTTTTTTCCCCACAGATTAAGTACTGAACTATGGCGTCTAACGATGAACCGGAACAATTAAAAGAAGATCAGAATTTCGGTCTAAAGAACGTCGGCAAATTTTGGATTCTGAAAACAAATACTTTTTCAAAACGTCTTGTATTTCTTGACGATGCTAAAGATGTTAAAATTGACGATAACATTCTAATAGCAGATGAACGATTATTTGAAATACACAAAAATGAAAAAGGTGAATATTCATTTCGCCATGTTGAAGATATCACATACAATACATATTTTTCTTTGGAAGAAGGCTCTTGTGAACAAGCAACGGCGAACAAAGACACTAGTGAAGTAGATGAAAGTGATTATGCTTTAATCCAAGACATCCGAACTGAGCATAAAAAGGCAAGTTCACGTCCTGAAAATAAAGATAACTATGAGAAAATTGATTTAGATGGAGTTGCATCAGGGCATTTCAAGTTAGAATACGATTATTTGCCTCGAAGTTATAATGAAATGCAGCACTTGAAAACAAAAACAAATTCTTCTACTGTGATTCAAAACTGTCACGGTGATTCAAACAATTGGTCTGTCGGTGAATTAAAGATTGGTTCTGGCGGTGATTTAAACATTGGGTCTGTCGGTGAATTAAAGATTGGGTCTGGCAGTGATTTAAACGTTGGGTTTGACGTTGATCTAAACATTGGATCTGCAGCCGAAATGATAGAAGGACACGAGAAGTATGACCCCGTTAAGGTTGGAAGTACGGAAGTAGATAGTGTCATTAACGATTTAGACATGACACAAATACCATCTGGAGGTAATTGTTTTTCTAGAGTTATAAATATTACATCCTATTGACTTTAAAACACCAGTGAACATGTGAAATAAAGGGGTTTTGTCTTACTGGATATTTTTTATATTTTGAATACTCAGCAGGACCTTACTTTTGTCATACCGGTTAGAGATATTGGACCAGAAAAGTTAGTGGGATCTAAATCATGAGCAGGTGTCAAGTGCCGTGTAGCAGCCGTAAAAAGTTGCCTCGTACTTCACTTCAGTGTTGTTATATTTTCTGGTCCTTCGGGATCATTGATGCCAACACTATAAAGTGTTGAGAATTGAGTACTGCTCGAGTCTGCAATTCTTATGTTATTTTGTTGTGATTCATGCTTACGATGGATCACTTTGTATCAAGAATCTTGTACTTCATAACAGCAGGTATGATGTGCCGTGTGGCAGCCGTAAAAAGTTGCCCCGTACTTCACTGCAGTGTTGTTATATTTTGTGGTCCCTCGGGATCATTGATGACAACACTATAAAGTGTTGAGAATTGAGTACCGCTCGAGCCGGTGCTAGGGGGCGTGTGGGATGTTGCACTTACTAATTATCCCTCATGTTCAGACTCAATCAAACCGAGTCTGAAATTCTTATGTTATTTTGTTGTGATTAATGCTTCCGAGGGATCACTTTGTTTCCAGAATTTTGTTATATTTTTTCTGGTCCTTCGGGATCATTGATGCTAGCACTATTAAGTGTTGAGAATTCAGTACCGCTCAAGCCGGTGCTTCCGAGGGATCACTTTGTTTCCAGAATTTTCTTTGTTGATCATATTTTAAGCTCATCTGTATAATTATATTTTGTGTCAAGATTTTTAAATGAAACACAGCTCATCGTATTTTTCATGAATGGTAGAAATCAACATATCAAGAAATCACAAGAGCATCGCTAAGCGGAGCATTATATGTCTGAAAGTGTTTTTGAAGCATTTGTAAGACATGGGAATTAAATAAAGTATTACCTCCTTCAAAATGCAATCTTCCTTTATAGCTGAAGAACCTTCATATATATCCAGTGGCTGTTTCTAAAGCACCACCATTAAGTTGTTGTCTTGCAAGTAAAAATGTTACGACGTATGGAAACACTGGACATAGCTGTTCATCCTATAACATTTTACAGCTGTAGGTTTACATGTATTAACCGCCATATGAACACATCTGCGGATATTTCAAAATTCTAAATTTTACCAGTTCATGTTAAATGTTGAATTCTGCTTCAGCCTGTGCTGGGGGCGTGGACGGTAGTTTGCACTTGACAGTACCGTCCATGAACAGGCTCAATCAAACCGAGCCTGCAACATTTTCTATTTTGCCGTGTTGGGCTTTCTTTAGGGATTCTTATTTATCTTTATTTTATCGCCACATCAGCGTTGTTTGTGCCGTGTGGAGGCCGTAAAAAGTCGCCCCGTACATTCAATCAGGGATGTTATATTTCCGATCCTTAAAGATCGTTCAGCACGATATAATTGTTGTGCTTGTGGTATTTAAGTTCTTCTTTTCGGCATCCTTCTTGTTGGGTGGTTCCAGTATTCCTCACTTGAATACTGTTGAATCACCCTTAGGATATGTGGCCTGCTTTTTAAATTTGTATTTTGACGTCATATCTGTGATATGCAGGCTTCATAACCACAGATCCCCTTTCAAAATTCCATTTTATTTAGTTCCGCCGATTGTTTCTCGTTTAGGGCACATGCATTTTTTTACTTGAGGACCATATGCCGCTTTTCATGGAATGGCACTTACGTGTCACATTGAAGGTTCCATGATAACCGCCATATGAACACATCTGCGGATATTTCTAAATTAAATTTCATGATAAATGTTGAATTCTGCCTAAGCCGGTGATAGGTGGCGTGTAAGGTAGCTTGCATTTTCCAGTTCAAACCGAGCCTGCAACATTTTCAATTTTGCCGTGTTGGGCTTTCTTAAGGGATTCTTATTTCTCTCTATTTTATTACAACGTAAGTAATTGAGTGGAAACTGTTTTCAATTTTGCCGTGTTGGGCTTTCTTTAGGGATTCTTTATTTATCTATTTTGAGATATGAAATTTTGATAATGTCTTTTTAAAATTAAAAGTTAAAAAGTTCAAATTGAAATTTTATTTCTCCTAATTAAGAAAAATTACTACTTCTTATGGAATGTTACAAATTTCTACTTAGGGTAACACATTTAATATTATACTAAGAAAGTAATCATAATTAGGAGGATTCAGTGTCTAACTGGTATAGAATAGTCCCTTAGGACCTTTTGTGTACAAAAAAAAACTCCGAGGATAAATGGCACACCATGTATATCAATTTAAAGCTGCATGTTTGAAGTTCACAAAATTTTTGGATAAACATGTTAGAGCTAGGTACGTTTTGCGAGATCAAGATGGCTGCCAAATTATTGAAAAATGCCCTTACACATTTCATCTAAACAATATGTTCTTTTTAGTATTTATTTTAGTATAGGTGATGTAAGAATTCCACATCTAATTGAATAAATGGTTAAATAATCTCTATTGAGGGTGTTCTTGTCGAATTTGGACATTCTGATTGGTCGAAAAAGCAGGGAGCGGGGGTAATATAATAAATTACACTGCGTAATTATATTAAATCATTGATATATAGTTTGAGTATTTGATGAAATTCATTATGAATCATTTCTTTATTGAATTATATATACATGTACATTTAATCCAGCATAACATATGTTATCCTTTTCAATATCTATTTTAAAGTACTCATTTATGTGTATTTGTAAAAGATCGGCATCCTTTAATTCATGCTATGTTTAATAATAATCTTATCAAACAATTGTTAAATTTGTAAAAAAGATGAAAACTCTTCCTTTTTACCAACATAACATGAAGCCTCAGTGGTACACCTTGATGACATATGGCGAGAAAAGACTTTACTTGAAGTCCAACGTTGAATAAAACACTATTGACGACATCACTTTTGTTTGCTACTAATTCGATATAATGAATTATATGATTACTCTCAAAATGACTATTCAAACTTGAAAATATAATTTGTTTTTCCCCCAATTCAAAACCATGTTGTCATGCGGCGTAATACATTTTTCATGTTATTTTCATTACTTTTTGTTTTATAAGCTTTAATAACTTTAAGACACTTCTTATTAATTTGTTTTGCTTTCGGAGTTCTACAGAACACATCCCCGGCTCCATTCTGATATCCTTGACCAACTTGGAAAAAGAAACATGGACCGTAAATCCCGAAACGTCTTATTAAAGAAAAGGGAAACCTGTATTTTACACATCCTGTGTTTATATCTTTGAAAATGATAGTCTTATCTATTATTGATAGTATCATCTCCCCTTCAATAGCACACATCTTTGTCAGTTTTGAATGTTCTATGTTTACTTGAAACTCATCATGTTCATTTCCTATAAAGATAAAAAAAAAACAGCATCAAGGAATCATTTCTATGAACACAAGAAAATCAATGTGAACTTGTCAACGAAAAGGCTTTGCTTCATTTTCAAAAAAGGTTATTTACAATATTTACCCAGGCGACCGGTGTAGAGAAAAAACAGTCGCCACATTTGTGTCGTCTGATAATGGTCTGCACAGTTCATTATTCATTGAGTACTTATGTTAAAATGTTCCATTACACAAATCCAATGAAGATAATTAGCGTGGTAAGGGCCAAGGTCATTTACTAGGCTGCTGTTGTGAAGTACAAAATTCTGGAAACAAAATGATCCCTCGGAAGCATCAATCACAACAAGTCTTATCCAATCAAAATTAGATTATGGTTCTGTTGTTTATGGGTCTGCAAGAAAATCATATCTTCAAATGTTAGATACCATACATCACCAGGGTTTACGGTTAGCTTTAGGTGCATTTCGCACATCACCTGTAGAAAATTCTGGAAACAAAGTGATCCCTCGGAAGCGCTAATCACAACAACATAACATAAGAAGTGCAGACTCGGTTTGATTGAGTCTGTCCATGATGGATAATGTAAAAGTGCAACATCCCTCACGCCCCCTAGCACCGGCTAGGGGGCGTGACTGAGACTGAATCAAACCAAGTCTGCAAGTCTATATGCGAAAGCTGGGGAACCATCGCTTCAACTTCGTCGAAAAAAGCTATCACTTCAATATGCAACTAGAATTTCATCAAATAGCAAAAATCCAGCCAAAATATCATTTCAAACCAAAATTCTGGAAACAAAGTGATCCCTCGGAAGCATTAAAGGGAGACACAGGCAAATTTTTCATTTCTTAAGTTTTGAATTTTTCATTCATTTTTCTGTAAATGCCATCAAAACGAATATATTAGACAGTCAAAGGAACAAAACCGTTCTTCATATAAAGAATAAAATGGTGGTTTCCTAACTTGACCCGCGTGGGTCAGGTTAAAGCGCTAGCATTTTACAATAGTGTCAAAGTGAACACTGGAAATGTTAAAGAACATGTCAAATGACTGACTGTTATTTTATGTGGGGTCATATGGGGGTTGCGTTCATTGATCGCGGCCTTTTCTTGTTGATCTTGTTTATCATATTTTAGGCCTAATTAGGACATACAAAGTCCTGATTATAATTTTATTCCTTCTTATTCTAGGCCTTTTAAACATCCTTATTAAGTGTTAAAAAGACAAACTTAGACGTACTTGTCCAAATTAGCAGTTAAATTCTAAGAAGAAAATACATTTGTAACAGGGTGTAACAAAGTATTTTTTTCATTTCTCCTATTTTGGATCATCAAGGTGTAATTAAAAGTTATAAGTAATATAGTATAGGGCATTTGGCGACGTTCCAGCTTAACTGTTGAAGGAAGACCTTAGGTGCCCTTCCGTGCATTATTTCAGGCACGAACGGGCACCCGAGTAGAACAACTGGCATTCCGTAAGCTGCCGGATAGGTCCCTCACACGGACAAATCCAAAGTCCCTGTCGGGATGCGAACCCACGGCGGTGAGGGGCAAGTGGTTTGAAGTTAACAACCTTAACCACTCGGCCACAGAAGCCCCGCCAATAAAATTCTCAAATCACATACATGTAATAGCCGAGTTTTCTCATAAAGTCCGTACTGTTTGCACAATGGCCTTGTTTTATGATCATAATGTCGTGTTCATTTGAGCCTTACATTTGAAGTGAAAACGTGCCCGATATTGAAAGGCTAATTAATAATAACGATAAATGCACACTTATTTATGTCGTTCAATATGAAGATATTAATACACGGCAATGCTGGGCCAGAATAATCGGCTCGCAAAATAAATAATAATCTTCAAGAGTTTTTATTCACTAAGGGCCATGTACCTAAATGGAAATATGGCGCTTGACATGTCTGATATAATATTGCAGCTGTGTACGATTTCAAAAGAATCAGCATTGTTCCCAACATTGTATAATGACCTACCGCCTCCGTGGTCGAGGGGTTAGAGTCGATGACTTCTAATCCAGTTACCTCTCTGGCGTGGGTTCGATCCCCGGGAGATGCTTTGGTAGTTTAGCGCGGAGGAAGGTAGTCTAGTACTGGTGTAACTCTCCAGGAACGATGGTTAGGAAACTACCCGCCTATATGACTGAAATACTGTTGAAAAAGGCGTAAAATGAAACAAACAAACAAACAAACAAACAATAATGGCCTCTTTTTTATTCTTTTACATTTGACAGAACTTTAACTTGATGAAGTAATGTATTTTTGCCTTATTTAAAATCGCAAACACAGTTTGCTTGAGCCTGTCTATCAAAATCTATACAAAGAGCAACATTTCGAATGCACCCTGGCACCGGTTTACGTCTTCTAATCTAATATCTTTGGAAATATTTATCCAAAAGGATCAGGAGGACAAAAAATAACACCACAAAATGGCGTTTTTCCTACGACTGCTGTAATTTAGCGCAAGAAACACACTGGCAGTAACAAAAGTTATCATAAGAATTTTAGGACATCTTCAGAGCTATCACAAGAACACAAAACAAAAAATGTTTACCGAGTGATATATGAACAGAAGAATGTAACATTTTTATAAGTTTAAAGCAAGTACTGTAGATATTTCATAAGGATATTTATTCAAAAGTCACAGTTTGTCTTCCTTATTATCATTCTGAAATGAAAATAGAAATAACATATAATATTAGCATCAAAGTCTGTGAGATCTTCACACACAAATTGTACTACTTTGAAACAAAACATATAGGACACTATGTTATGTCGGGTAACATCCGCATCAACAGATCTATGGAATACATCGACCTGATTGTGATTCGACTTTTCTGTGTCTATTCCTTCATTAGCAATTGCATGAAGGTTCCTTTAAAGTTTACATATCGAAAAACTATATATTATTTGATCACTTTTATAACCGTTAAGGTGATAATTTAACGGAATTTCATTTCTACTTCTTTTAAACAGTAGTATTTTTTCTTCCAATGATACCAGTTGATTCCAGAAGTATTTGTTATGCCAGGCTGGTTGTAATACTTCCCATTGAGATTAGAATATTGGCAACCCTTATACCACCACGCACCATGATTAATTTCCGCACAATTGCTCCAGTCACTGTCATTGTCTCTGTCATACGTTGAGAACATCATTCCATAATGCCACTCAAGAGAATCTCCAGCAGTTCCACTGTATCCACTCACCTTCAATTTGTAATTGTCTTCTTCCGGATATATCTTGAACTTACTATACTTAGCATATGCACTGTTTCCCTCAAAATCTTCAATCTCTATTCGAAGTTCGTGTTCTCCATCTGATGTCAATAGACTCAAATGATCATTTCCGATCCAGAACTCACCATCTAGGTCACCAAAGCCGTTTTTATACGCAGTCCAGTTTCGATAAAAATCTGTTTTACCATTCAGTCTTCTTTGAAATACTATCCAGCCCCCGCCGTCTGTTGTTTGGTCACAGTACACGTGAGACACCTGTCGTAATTCGTATATTCCATTTCCAATTATGTTCATATCTCTTAACGATTTACATGAGGTAGGATATAATAAAACTTCCATATGCGAATGTAAATATGTTATGAAAGTTGCGATGTTTTCATTTTGTTTGGTGTTTTGTTGAACCTGTTCAGCCATACTTTGTAAAATTTTAAGGCCATTTTCAGACGTTATTAAATTGTCTTCAGACACATGTTTTACCGTCTCAAAGTTGGTTAATAATTGATCAGTATTATTAACAGCGACTTTGCAATAACTTTCAACATCTTCGTTAAGGAAAAACAATTTCTTTTCAATCTTTGGAATTTCCCGTCGGACCCTTACAGCCTCAGACTTTTCCTCGGTGAACGCAACTCTGAGTCTCATGAAATCCTCTTCCAATGTATCCAATGTTTTAAAATCAATCTGACCAGCTGTTGTCGCCGCTGATGGAACGGGATGTCTTTTTTTGTTAGTCGCATTTAACACTTTATCGATGCCATCCAGTCGAATTGTTATTTCAGCAATATCTTCGTCTCTGAACTCACCTTCGGTATTAAGTCTATTTTCTAAATGTTTGACCATTGATTTTAGACGATCAAATTCCTTAGTTGAACTCGTCAGGTGAATTACATATACACTAAAAAGAAGAACTTTTACTATTCCAAACAGCAGCATGATTATGTGTAACTATGAAAAAGAATTAAAGATGTCCTATTTATTATCAAACATTCTTAAAGCTGACATACATGAACGATTTTCCTTCGTCAATTCAATTTCAAACCATACAAAATTCACCTATACTAAATCTTTTAGAACAAATGATTATCCTGCTTGTACACCTAATATCAAAACATGACGTTAAGTTTCTCTGTGAAGAATGTATATTGCTGATATTTTCTTAGAACAAAACCAACACCTGGAAATTCTTATTCAAAAGTTCTTGAATATAAAGATAAAACTACAAATTTGAGAAGGAGCCAATTCAATTTTTTGTATCTTACATCATGTGTTTTAAGGGAGAAGTACGTTATATTATAATATCATGATACTAGACTTATTATATGATTCCATGTGTATATATAATTAGATATTATAAAACATTCAATTGACATTTGTAAAGTTTAACTATAAATTGTGTATCACATGACCTCTTTTGTTTACAATGAGATGTTATAATTACGTTATTCTTTATGTGAATAAGAGTATGTTGTATATAAAATATTGATATACCTTTGTATACCTTTTATACAAAAATGTAAAAAAATTTTGAAAATGAAAAGTTATATTTTTGAAAAAAAATTTTGACACTTTTTTTGATATGGGAAAACTTTTAAAAAAATTTTTTTAAAAATTTGCAAAAATTTTTTAAAAGAATTTCTTAAAAGGGGGGAAATGGAAAAGAAAATAGAAAAGAAACAAAATGAGCCGTCATTATATCTGTTATATGACTCGTAACTATGTGTTATTTGGGAAAAACAATATTTTAAAAAAGGGAAAAACTGATTCAATATTAAGCTAAACAATAATTATTTCTATCTTAAACAACATCAAATTGGCATTTGTTCAACATCTGCTCGCGGGATATGAATGCAAATATTTCTTGCATATCAGACAGGAGATTTTATTGTGTACCGGTGCCAGAAAATCTCATAATACACCACTCTGTAAGACTAGTCGCGTGCTTTAACCTTTTACCACATGAGCACATGTATTTATTTTTATATTATCTTCAAAGAAATATAACAAGAAATAGTAAATAAAATAATTAAAATTCATTAAATAAACACATCTTACTTTCGTAACTAACCTTCAAACTGAAAAAAAGATGTGTGCTATGGAAGGGGAGATGACACTATCTATAATAGATAAGACTATCATTTTCAAAGATATAAACACTGGATGTGTAAAATACAGGTTTCCCTTTTCTTTAATAAGACGTTTTGGGATTTACGGTCCATTTTTCTTTTTTCAAGTTGGTCAAGGATTTTCGAATGAAGCCGGAGATGTGTTCTGTAGAACACCGAAAGCACCATTAATTACTAAGAAGTGCCTTAAAGTAACTAAAGCTTATAAAAACAAAAAAATGATGAAAATAACAAGAAAAATGTATAACGCCGCATGACAACATGGTTTTGAATTGGGGAAAAAAGAAACATTTTATATTTTCAAGCTTTAGGGATTCTTTATTTCTCTCTATCTTGGCAGTCATTTTTGAAGAATTTCTTTAAATCAGGGTCAAAGATTACATTATTCAATTTCATTTCAAAGAGCCTCTTTTAAGTTTATTTGGAATTCCTGTTTCCTATTTCTGGAAAAAACATTACATTTACCTTTCGAAGACGGCGGCTTAAATGTGCCTAATATAAAATTAAAATGATTTTCACTCCTTTTAAAATATATACAAGATACAGTTCATTGTAGATCTTCTCCTTAGTTTCATTTTGTAAAATACTAGATTGGGTTACAATTAAGAAAAATTTAACCAATCTTTACATAAAAATAATTTTCCGCATAGTGAATTTTGCCCTCCTCTTTATAACATGTGTTTAAAAGCTATTTTACTTCTTACTGAAAAGATACATTTTCTCACATATAAATTGAATGACCCTTCTTTAAACCCCTTAATACTATAACTATATATTTACTAAACACTTAGAGAAAATAAAATCAAATTCAGTGAAAAAGTTTTTAGATTTTTTGATTTACCTAAATTAAATAACGATATTATACACATGTTTAGTCATTTCATCAATTTCTAGATATCTAATTTGGTCAGCTCGCAATAATCTTGAATATCACAATTAGAAAGTTTCCGAAAGGACTGTCATTGACAAATTCCTGTCTAATTTAAGATATAGAATATACTCAGATGAAAAACGTTTAAATTCTCTACACTTTTGGTTTCGTGTTTTTAAACGAAAATGATATTTCTTTTAATAGAACGTGTTTCATTGACTTCTATCTGAGAATACTTAATTTGAAATTATAATTTTGCTGCTGTTTGTTGTTTTCTTTCTCTTTCCAGGATAATGGTAGTCATCGTCTTGATGTGCCTTTAACCCCATCTATTGAACCCCATCTTCTTGAAAGGGAGAAAAACTATACAATGATGTCTGTTTTTATACATATAAGTTACTTCCCTTTTTGTTTTTTCTTTCTCTTTCTTAGTATAATACAAGGAATCTTCGCTACGCATTCGTCGTGATTGATGGAAGAGATATTCAAATGTCGGCGTAACGTTTTCCTTGTCTTTTTGAATTGTGTGAGCCGAATAAGCCGAGATTGTATGCTATTGTCGGTTTGTCTCATGTCTTTCATAATTATTACTTTCTTACTTTATGTATTTAAATTTATTTCGTTTGCTTGAGAGTTTGCACACTTATGCTTGGTCTGTCTCATACGGGTTTTCCCGTAACATTCCATTTTCTTCTCGGCCATTACTTTAATTTTTAAATGTAACTTAGTTTTTCGTTAAATCACTTACTTGACTTTGTATAAACGACTTGTCCTACTTGTATGTATGTGAAAGAAAAAAATAGATGAAACTTGAGCAGCCAATGCTGACACTGGAAAGACTGTACATATTTGCAAGCCTAATCCTTAACCGTCTGAGTTTGTGAAATGAGCCGCGTCATGACAAAACCAACATAATGGATTTGCGACCAGCATGGATCCAGACCAGCCTGCGCATCCGCGCAGTCTGATCAGGATCCCTTCTGTTCGCTATCAGTTTCTCTATGCGTTATAGGGTTGGTAAGCGAACAGCATGGATCCTGATCAGACTGCGCGAATGCGCAGGCTGGTCTGAATCCATGCTGGTCGCAAACTGACTTTTAAAGCTTTTAAAGGCTCAAATTGACTTTTAAAGCTTCAAGCCTTTTTATGATGCAAGTGGTAGACTCGGGTACGGACATCGTATTTCCCAACTTAAGCTTAAAATGTTTCGGTTCTATTCTAAACAATTCAAAGTTTAAACTAAATCTCTTGTACAATTTTTAACCTGCTGTATGCCTTTGTAAGACTTTTAACATTTGTAACATTTTCTTAAGTTGAAAACTATATTAATGCTATAGATGCACATAAGAAATAATTTTCAACTATTCACAGTGAACGTTATTACAAAATCATATATATCGGACTAGTAGAAAACAAAAATTATTTCGCCAGAAGGGCTAAATTCAACGTCCGGCTTGATTTATCTTTTATGTTTTTTCTCGCCATATGTCATCCAGATTTTTTGAGTTATCAAAATTTTTTCTTTTTATAAAAAAGGTATCATAAAGGAAAATTTTTCATCTTTTTAAAACTTAAGCAATTATTTGATTAGATTATTATGAAATACAGCACGAATGATGATCATTTCCAAGTACGCATGAATGAGTACTTTAAAATAGATATTTAAAAGGAAAACAGTTGATGTACTTTGTAAAATGTATAAGTCAAAATAAAAATGATTCATAATAAATTTCATCAAATACTATTTGTTTAGTTTTGAGTTAAGGCTCTTTATAACTACATGTATAAAGCCTTGAGAAAAAATTACCCAGAGCCAAATATTTATCTGCATTGTAAGTATATATATTTGTATTTACTGAGGAGGGCATGATGGTATGTTGGTATTATAGTATTGACTGTTTTTACATAGTATATAATAATACAGCAAAGGCGCCTCTATTCTGTGAGATGTGACTTTAGTACTACACAATTTGAATTAAACAATTTAGAAATCGAAATGAGCCACGACAAAACCAACATAATGGGTTTGCGACCAACATGGATCCAGACCAGCCTTCGCATCCGGGCAGTCTGATCAGGATCCATTCTGTTCGCTTACCAACTCTATTAGAAGTAGAGAACCTGATAGCGAACAGCATGGATTCTGATCAGACTGCTTGGATGCGCAGACTGGTCTGGATCAATACTGGTTGCAAATCCATTATGTTGGTTTTGTCGTGACGCGGCTCAAATTATATATGTATGTAAACCAATGTCTTTCAAAACAACTTTGCGTAACATTTTCAATTTCTTAGATTTAAGATTTATGGAAATTGATTCCTTGGGAATGTTTCGTCAGATCTTTCATGTATATCCTACAGAAACATCGCCACATAAATGAAAGTTTATCAATGAAATTGATTTTTTGTTTTTTTTAGTAAACATTTGCATTGTTCACTACATTCTTAGTGACAAATTTTAACTTTAACATTGTAATATCATTAATCCTCAAAATAATTTACTTCACCATCAGGGATTTTTCGTTTGACTCTGCTTAATTTTTGTTGTGATTTTATGCATATATGTACAAAAACCAAATTCATTATCACTCTTTTTCTGTAGTACATACTGTAAAACATTTCAGTTAACCGATATGTATCATAGTTATCCATTCAAAGACTTTGTTCGTTTATATTTTACTATTTATTTTGAGTAATGAACAATCTTGGAATAGTTCGTTCAAATCTGGAAAAAGTGTGATCCCTCGGAAGCATTAATCAAAACAAAATAACATGCAGATTGCATACGCGGTTCGATTCTGACACTGGAAAAACTGTACAGACTTGAGCAGCCGACAGTGCTAACACAAGAAAGACTGTACAGACTTATGCAGCCGACAGTGCTGACACTGGAAATACTGTACTGACTTATGCAGCCGACATTGCTGGCACTAGAAAGACTGTACAGACTTGTGCAGCCGACAGTGCTTACACTAGAAAGACTGTACAGACTTTGAGCAGCCGACAGTGCTGACACTGGAAAGACTGTACAGAGTTGAGCAGCCGAAAGTGCTGACACTGGAATTTCTGTACTGATTTGTACATCCGACAGTGCTGACACTGGAAATAATGTACTCATTTGTACAGCCGACGATGCTGACACTGGAAAGACTGTACAGACTCGGCAGCCGACAGTGCTGGCACTGGAAATACTGTACAGAATTGTGCAGCCGACAGTGCTGACACTAGAAAGACTGTACAGACTTGAGCAGCCGACAGTGCTGACACTTGAATTACTGTACTGATTCGTGCAGCCGACAGTGCTGACACTTGAAATACTGTACAGACTCGAGCAGCCGACGATGCTTGCACTGGAAAGTATTACAGACTTGAGTAGCCGGCAGTGTTTGCACTGTTAAGACTGTACAAATATAAGCAGTCGTTAAACACTAGGCCACCGCTCATCTTAAATAAATGAAATCTAAGAACACAGTAAAAAAAAACAACAGATGTCATGTATGTAACATTTATCGAGCACGTAAATGTTATCTAGATTGCGTATCCAATAAAAGGCCAACAGTCAGTTAGCGATTGAATCTTTTAAATCCCGCCCAACCAAAACACGGAAGACTGATTGCATAATGTAATTTCAGTCATTAAAATAAATAACTAAATATACTTTATATGTATACTCAAATCGTATAGAGCAGATATTTCGGTGTTAACCACGTGGTCGTGTCAGCATAAAGTAGTGCAGTTAAAATGGCTAAAGGATTAACATATTGGGCGGATATACTTATAACTATTCTTTATTTACCTTTTTGTAAGTTAACTTAATGAATAATGTCATAATATAGCCCCGATAATATCTTTTGGAAAAATGTCTGGAATTGTTAGGCGCACAAAGATTTTTATCACTTATTCTCCTGGTCTTAATCGCTGGATGGTCTCATTTGTGGATGTTATCATATATTACTATTTTACTGTACATAGACACATGTCAAATAATAATTATAAAGGTAAACGACATCTTACGCCTTTTTTTCTTTTCAATATGTTTAGATACTTTTAAATAACTATTATGAAAAAAATCCTTTGCACCGAATACATTGCGTTCCAGTGTAATCAATGATATTTTGCATTTGATAATGCGGTAAATATACTAAAATTCTAGTCAGATAGAATCTGGTTATTGATATCAACGGTAAACATTGATTTTACATTGCGACATTTTGATCTGTATGTATAGAAGTTCTTTTCTTTAATATTTAATAAACGTTATGACCCATAAATTTTTATTGTACTAAATGACCGCCAAACATTTTTCATTTATCGGATATTTCGGCATTTATTCAATTCTGTTTTGGACAATTCTTTGAGTTTGATTCATTCCATGTACTGTCAATGTAATTGCGTTCAATGTTAACCGAGTGATATATGTACAGAACATTGTAAACATTTTACAAATTTAAAGAGAATGCTGTAGACATTTTATAAGAATATTTATTCAAAAGTCACAGTTTGTCTTCCTTATTATCATTTTGAATGAAAATAAAAATAACATATAATATTAATCATAGTACAGGGCACTATCTTATGTCGGGTAACATTCGCATCAACGGAACTAAGGAATAAATCAACCTGATAGTGATTCGTCTGGGATAGTTCAGTGTCTATTCCTTCATCAGCTATCGTCGTCCAAGTTTCTGTAAAGTTTACATAACGCAAAACAACAATTATTATTTTATCAGTTTTATAACGATGATAATCAATATCCTAGTTTAACAAGTTAACGGAATTTCATTTCGACTTTTTTCAAACTGTATCGATTATTCTTCCAATGATACCAGTTAATTCCAGTACTATCTGATTTGCCAGGCTGGTTATAATACCGTCCATTGAGATTTGAATGATGGCAATTCCTATACCACCACGCACCATGGAAAGATTTCGCGCAATTTGACGACCATTTATCCTGGTCTCTATCATACGTTGAGAAAATCATTCCATTATGATATTCTAGAGAATCTCCAGCAGTTCCACTGTATCCGCTCACCTCCAGTTTGTAATTGTCTTCTTCCGGATATATCTTGAACTTACTGTACTTAGCATATGCACTGTTTCCCTCAAAATCTTCAATCTCTATTCGAAGTTCGTGTTCTCCATCTGATGTCAGTAAACTCAAATGTTCATTGCCAAGCCAGAACTCACCATTTAGATCACCAAAGCCGTTTTTATATTCAGCCCAGGTACGATAAAAATCTGTTTTACCATTCAGTCTTCTTTGAAATACTATCCAGCCCCCGCCGTCTGTAAGTTGGTCACAGTAAACTTCAAAACCTTGTCGTAATTGTTTTACTCCATTACCTGCATTGCCCATAGCTGTTAACGAACGACAGGAGGTAGGATAGAATAAGTATTCCATTTTAGAATATAAATCATTTATTAGAGTTTCAATGTTTTTAATTTGTTTGGTGTTTAGCTGAATCTGTTCAGACATACTTTGTAACATTTTACGGTCATTTCCAAACGTTATTAAATTTTCTTCAGACACATGTTTGACCGTCTCAAAGTTTGTTAATAGTTGATCAGTATTATTAACAGCGACTTTGCAATAATTTTCAACATCTTCGTTAAGAGATATCAAATTCTTTTCAATCTTTGGAATTTCCCGTCGGAACCTTAAAGCCTCAGACTTTTCCTCGGCGAACGCAGTCCTGAGTCTCGTGAGATCCTCTTCCAATGTTTCCACTGTTTTAAAATCAATCTCACCAGCTTTTGTCGCCGCCACTGATGGAACGGGCTGTCTTTTCCCGACGGTCGCATTTAACACTTTATCGATGCCATCCAGTCGAATTGTAATTTCAGCAATATCTTCGTCTCTGAACTCACCTTCGGTATTAAGTCTATTTTCTAAATGTTTGACCATTGACTTTAAACGATCAAATTCCTTTGTTGAACTCGTCAAATGAATTACATGTACACTGAAAAGAAGAACTTTTACTATTCCAAACAGCTGCATGATCATGTGTTACTATGGAAAAGAAGTAAAGATGTCCTATTTGTTATCAAACGTTCTTAAAGCTAGCATGAACGATTTTCCTCCGTCAATTCAATTTCAAAACAACATAAAACACCCCAATCCTTAATTTTTTAGAACAAATAATTATCCCGTATGTACACTATTCTATCAAAACATGACGTTAAGGAACCAATTATATTTGTTTGTATCTTACATTAAGTGTTTAAAGAGAAGTACTTTATATGCGTTGTACCAGTACTAAAAAATTCAAACACCTCCTTAACTATTCTTTATAAAATGTTTTGAGAATTGAAAATATTCTTAACTTTACATGTTATCACATCTCATCTTTACAGATGAAGGGATCGGTTATTTGACTAACAAAACATGTACCAAAATTGTATTTGTGTAACACATAATAGAAAATTGCAAAACAAATAACACTATAATGAATCATATTAATTTACTTCCCTTTTCGTAAAAGAGTAACTAAAATTCAATACATTTTATTTATATGATGATAAGTACTATGAGCACGCAGTGTGATTTTTCATATTATCCCCCTCTTGCTGCTTTTTTGACCAATCCAAATTTGATATGAACGCCCTCAATAGAGTTTATTTAACCATTAATTCAATTGGATGTGTAATTCTTAATCAACTTTACGAAAATAAGTACAAAAAGAACATAATTTTCACGCAGAAGAGCCATATATCTGATCCCTTCTCCCTTTCACGGTGGTAGTTTTGAAGTTAAAATGTCCTTATTTGCAGATGATAACACAACCATTTTGTCAGATAATTTATCTATGAAAAATTGCTTTCACGAGGTGAACTTGTTTAAAAAAATATGAGGGTCAAAGATTTACTATAGAAAATCGAAACGGTTATACCTAGGTAAATGGAAAAATCGATTTAATCATCCTTTTGGCATTTCTTGGGTCCGTACCTGTAAATTATTAGGTTATCATTCTGGCTGTAATATCGATACAGATATTATTTGGCTTGAAAGGTTTTCAAAATTTACAAGGAAACTTAATTATATTTCATCTAATAGTTATTCTTTCAAAGGTAAAAGTACTGTAATAAACTATTATATGACATCAGACATAATACCTGAACATAATGTAATTTTATTTCAAAGAGCCTCTATTAAATTTATTTAGAATTCCTCTTTTGTACTTATTTCTAGAAAAAAAAACATTACATTTACATTTCGAAGACGGCGGCTGAAATGTGACTAATATAATATTGAAATAGTTTTCTCTCATTTTAAAGCATATACAATATATAGTTCATTGTAAATCTTCCCCTTGGTTTCATTTTGTAAAATACTGGATTGGGTTACAATTAAGAAAATTTAACTAATCTTAACATGAAAATAATTTTCCGCATAGTGAATCTTGCCTTCCTTTTTATACCATGTGTTAAAACGATTTTTGCTGAAAAGATTCACGATTTTGAGTTTATGGTGGCACAAAGGTGTCATGTGTGTGTTTTTATTTATCTCGTGGCCACAGATACTATGTCGTGGCCGCGAGTTACTAAGTCGTGGCCGCGAATTAGCTTAGTCGTGGCCACGAGATACTAAGTCGTGGCCACGAAATACTATGTCGTGGCCACGAGATAATTAACCAATCAGAATACACTATATATATTATGAATTTTTTAAACTTAACAACTTACTTTTACATGCAACAATAATCTTTGAAAATACGGAAGATATTCACTTTGAACTTGTCTTTAAGATCATATTAAAAAGTCAGCTTCCAATGCCAATCAGACATTAATTTTGACTATAGCTCTTTGTTGGGCAAGTTTCTGATCGAAATTGGTCAGTTTGTACGTACTACGGCCTTTTAACCTTGTTTAAATACGATAACATGAGAAGGAATAAGTCCTGGTTTATTTTATTTGTTAGGGACATTGCCCATGGACAGTAAATGGCCTATAAGGTAAAATCCTTATTTGATGAATAATTTAGAAAGGATAAGCCATGGTTAATGTAACCCAGACAGATCATTGCACCTAATCAGTAGATGACATCTAATAATTTCGAGGTCATTGGGTCAAAAATCAGGGTCACAGTGACGCTAAATGTAAAATTATTGACAAGTCAATAAGTTGTATAAATGGCACTTTTACAGGCTGGTGAAGAAGGGGCATATTTGTTCTATAGGACATGTCTAGTAAATTAGGGAAATTCACATAAATGGTGTAATCTGATTGGTTATTTATCTCGTGGCCACGACTAAGCTATCTCGTGGCCACGACTTAGTAACTCGTGGCCACGACATAGTATCTCGTGGCCACGACTTAGCTATCTCGTGGCCACGACATAGTAATTCGTGGCCACAACTTAGCTATATAGTGGCCACGACTTAGTAACTCGTGGCCACGACTTAGTAACTCGAGGCCACGGCATAGTAACTCGTGGCCACAACATAGTATCTCGTGGCCACGACTTAGCAATCTCGTGGCCACGATTAAGTAACTCGTGGCCACGACATAGTAACTCGTGGCCACGACATAATATATGACGGTTCTTGTCGGTAAATAAGGATACTCATTTGTATAAAAAATATGTTTACACCAGTAACTGATTGAACGATCGGATTTACTGGAAAAATACCGAAATACCTGGTGAAATAACTTTTTTTTGGTAGCAAAACGGGCCCGAACAACTTGTCATTTCAAAACTTATGTCTATTCACACGGAAATAAATGCATTATTACGTTAACTTAAATAATCGGGGTCAGGGAAAAAATACAGGTTGCAATCACTTTTGACTAGCCCCGGACGCTAGCTGTTGCAATTTCTGAAATTGACGTCCAAAAACATTCTGAAATGGAAAATAAAGGCAAATAAATTATTTTAGTAGACTCTAATTTAAATTCTTAACTGTACTATTAAATGTTTTTCATAAAATTTACAAGTTCCATAAAATACTTGTAAAATTCAATCGTTTTCACGATGAATACCACCGCGGTCCACGGAGATTGACCACTGCGCTACCCCGCAATAAACCACTGTGTTCCGCTGGGGAAACGCTTACGGCTGTAGATTTATGTCCGCGGTGGTGAAAATTTTCTGTCCGCGAGGTCACGACAATATTTGAGCAAATTTTCGTCCGCCATGAGTCACATCCGCGGGGACACGCGGGTTTTGCAAAAGCCGCGCTGAGCGTACTGTATCTCGTGGCCACGACTAGTAACTCGTGGCCGCGACATAGTATCTCGTGGCCACGAGATAGATAAAAACACACACATGTCACCTTTGTGCCACCGTATTTAATAGTTACCCGCCTAAAATGTTTTATATATACATCGAAGACACAGACTATAAGATTTAATGTAAAATTCTATTCCTACAACTAAATTTTAAAAACGTTTTTATCCTGCTCTCAAAAATATTTGTTTTAAACTACTACATGACGATATTTATGTTGATTACTATTTGTATTGTAAACTAGAAAAACTCATATTATTTTTGTAATAGCCCCGGAACAGTTTCTTACTTATTTAAGAAAGACGGTAGGGTCATTTCGACTTCATGAATTCCCGATTTCATTTTCATGAATTCACATATTGAACTTCGTGAATTCACGTTTTCGTCATAAGGAATTCATGAATTCACGATTTCAGCTTCATGAATTTATGATTTCAACTTCATGAATTTACGATTTCAACTTCATGAATTCACGATTTCAACTTCACGAATTTACGATTTCAACTTCAAGAATTCACGATTTCAACTTCATGAATTTACGATTTCAACTTCACGCATTCATCTTCGTGAATTCACGATTTCAACTTCATGAATTCACGATTTCAACTTCATGAATTCATGATTTCAACTTCACGACTTCAATTTCATGAATTCACGATTTCAACTTCATGAATTCACGATTTCAACTTCACGAATTCACGATTTCAGCTTCATGATTTCACGATTTCAACTTCAAGGTATAATCCACGTGATCGTGACGTCAGATGTTGCCATATTGGATAGCTTAGAAGTTGCGTGGAAAAAATGGTTAGTGATCTTTTACTTAATATATAAGTTTAAAATATATTATTATTTTCATTATAAATCGGTTAAAAGTATTAGTATGAAAACTATTCATATTAGCTGGTTTAAAAAGAAAATATATGGGGGTCTAGAAAACATAAATCTGGCTATATCCTGAATTGTACACCGGGGTCTAAACAAAACGTTTTTATTTTAAAATACTCTTAAAATATACATCAGGGTTCGATTTGCGCATCTGTTTGTCAGAATTGCATTTGCGTGTACAAGATATAATATAGTAGGTAATTGTAATTTTTCATCTAATTGCAGATGCTGGTGTTATCTTTCATCATTATTTCTATGGCGTTGACTGCATTGGCAATAGGAGAACGTATTGTATATAAAGAAACGATGATGGATTTGAAGTTCATTATTTCTCGATGGGATATAAATACAAAGAGATATAAGCTATAAGTCTTCTGTTGATTCATGGAATAAAAGTTAGTTATCGTCACTTAAAAGTAATCATAAAGAAACTATTTTTTCATAGTCGAACAGTAGAATCGAAATATGAAGATATTTTTTCGTGCCATTCTTGCAGAACTGTCTGGGAGTGGTAAATGGTTTGGTTATAAAGCCTCAAAACTCTGTGTCTTGAAGTTGCAACAAGTAATAATGATCCACAGGTTATTACAAAATGCTACTTGGACACCATATCCAACAATAATGAGTGATCGAGGAACTGAAAATGTCAATGTACGCAATCTACAAATATTTTTCAGATAAGGACATGTCGACGTCCATGCAGCGGAGAGAACTTATGTCACCATTCTGCTGGTTCAAAGTCAAGTTAACAATTTGAGATCAAACAAGTTTAATGCTCTTCAGTACTTCTTTTACAATTAGAATATTTTCTTCAACCTTCACATAAATGCTCAAATTGATAAGGTGCTATACAAAACTCATACCACTTTGTGCTGACTTTGGTACAAGGTCACCCTTAAAGGTCAAAGGTCAAATATCACCCAATTTTGTGTTTGCTCTGAAAGTCTTTTACCCCTTCATGGGTTTCCATAAAATTTGGATCACACCTATGCATTGCAATGGGTAGAAGCTATGTCACGGCCTTCCAGGCTCAATGTAAACGCAAAGTTCAATTATCAGAAAATTACTGTAGAAATCCTTTTATTCTGAAGATTTTTTTAAACTTGATTTTAATGTTTACATTAATAAAGCAATGTGCAGAACCCATGCCATTTCT